TATAATAACTATATTATAGTAACTATAATAACTATAATATTATAATAACGTATTATAATAACTATAATAACTATAATATTATAAGAACTATATTATAATAACTACAATAACTATAATATTATAATAATTATATTATAATAACTATAACCCCGCTGAGTCGCTCCAGACCGGTACAAAAGAAAGTTAAATGCTGGATCCAGGACAGTGGCCCCATACTGAGAGATTGTTTTGATCGAACAGACTGGCAGGTTTTCAGAGAAGCTGCTGAAAATGGAGGTTCGCTTGATCTTGACCAATACACATCCTCAGTCCTGGGTTACATTAGTACATGTACTGACACCGTCTCCACTATCAGAAATGTTAAAAGCTACCCAAACAGAAAACCTTGGCTGAATGCAGAGGTGCGTACCCTGCAGGAAGCCAGGAACACTGCCTTCAGGTCTGGAAACTCAGAGGAGCTGAGTAGGACAAGGAAAGAGCTGGTTGCTGGTATTAAGAGGGCCAAGGGCACATATGCAAAGAGGATCGAGGGTCAATTCATCTCACAAGACCCTCGGAGCATGTGGAGGGGCATTAAGTGCATAACGGATTATAAAGGAAGGAGTGAACAATGCCCCAAAGACCCATCTCTGCCTGATGCCCTCAACAAGTTCTATGCACGCTTTGAAGACCCGAACAGACCACCCAGCACCAGACTCACCTCACCACCGGATGAAGAGTATCTCAGCGTGACCTCAGCAGAAGTAAGGAGTACCTTCAGGAGGATTAATCCGCACAAGGCAACTGGCCCAGACAACATCCCCGGAAAAGTGTTGAAGGAATGTGCTGATCAGCTCTGTGAGGTGCTGGCAGACATCTTTAACACCTCACTTACCCTGGAGACAGTTCCCACCTGCCTGAAGACTGCCACCATCATCCCAGTCCCAAAAAGCTCTACAGTGACTGGTCTGAATGACTATAGGCCAGTGGCCCTCACCCCGATAGTCGCTAAATGCTTTGAAAAACTGGTCATGACTCACATCAAAACAACCATCAACATCAACGAGGACCCTCATCAGTATGCATACCGTGAGAACCGATCAACAGAGGATGCAATCTCCTCTGTGGTCCACACTGCGCTCAACCACCTGGAGCAGAAAAACTCTTACGTCCGTATGCTCTTTGTGGACTTCACATCCGCCTTCAACACCATGATCCCCCAAACCCTGATGGACAAACTATCCACACTAGGACTAAGCCCCTCCATCTGCAACTGGGTACTAGACTTTTTAACAAACAGACCACAGTTAGTGAGGATCCACAACCTCTCCTCCTCCACCATAACCCTCAGCACTGGCTCTCCTCAGGGATGTGTGTTGAGCCCCCTCCTGTTTACTCTGCTCACATATGATTGTGCAGCTACCCATCCAGGCTGTCACATTGTAAAGTTTGCAGATGATACAGCGGTGGTGGGATGCATCACAAACAATGATGAGTCCAGCTACAGGCAAGAGGTGGAACACCTGGAGAGCTGGTGCAGAGAGAATAACCTTCACATCAATGTGAAGAAGACAAAGGAGATGATTGTGGACTTCAGAAGGAACAAAAACATCTACACCCCCCTGAACATAAGAGGATCTGCGGTGGAAGTGGTCTCCAGCTACAAGTACTTGGGTGTACACATGAATGACAACCTCAGCTGGAGCAACAACACCACCAGCCTGATCAAGAAAGCTCATCAGAGACTCTACTTCCTCAGACGGCTGAGGCGAGCTGGTCTGGGAAGCTCAGTCCTCACCTCCTTCTACAGGTGTGCAGTGGAGAGCATCCTGTGCTCCAGCATCAACGTGTGGCATGGAGGCTGCACAGCTGCAGAAAGAAAAGCTTTGCAGAGAGTGGTGAAGGCTGCACAGAAGTCTGTTGAAGTCAGTCTCCCCACCATCACAGACATCTACACCTCTAGATGCAGGAAGAGAGCCACCTGCATCATGAAGGACCCCACTCACCCAGCACACACACTTTTTGCCCCACTCCCCTCAGGAAGGAGGTTGAGGAGCATTAAGTGTAGAACCACTAGACTGAGGAACAGCTTCTACCCTGATGCTGTTAGACTCATGAATCTCTAACCAGAATAATCATTGTGAAAAACCATATCATGTTGCTGCTGATCTGTTTCATGGTGCTGCTGATCTGTTTCATGTTGCTGCTGATCTGTTTCATGTTGCTGCTGATCTGTTTCATGTTGCTGCTGATCTGTTTCAATGTTGATGTGTTCATGCGTGCACATCTGCTCACAGACTCATGTTCATGTTTGTGCTGATGTTCAGTGTTTTATGTTATGAGTGCTTAGTGTATATTTAGTTGATGTTTTTCTTAGTTCATATCTTAGATGTTATTACTGTTTTTCTTATACATTTTATTGTTGGATGTGACTGGGACCCTGTGTACATAATTTCGCTCCACCACATGTACCACATGAGGTGCGAATGACAATAAAGAAACTCTGACTCTGACTCTGACTCTGAGAGCCAACTCCTCTGGACAAGACTCAGCTGTTCACCTCCACCTCACAGATAAGGAACACTCTTTTGAGGACCAAAATGTGCACATTTTGGACCGAGAACACAGATGGTTTGAGAGGGGGGTGAAGGAAGCAATTTATGTAAAAAGAGAAAAGCCGTCTCTTAACAGAGGAGGTGGCCTCAGATTTCCACTTTCAAAAACCTATAATGCAACTTTAAAACAGATTCCCAGCCGGTTTTCACACTTGATGGAAACAGAGGGGCCTCGTCTGTGAATTAGAGGAACAAAGAACTACTGTTTAGGTTTTTAGGTGTGAACTGCCAATCTACATATATGTGTGTGTGTGTGTGTGTGTCTTATGTGTGTGTGTGTCTTATCTCACTCAGCCTTATAACCTGTATCTCTCACTCTCTGCTCTTTGAATTGAGAAAGCTCCTCGGATGAGGAGCGAAACGTCTTCTGTTACAAATAAAGTCCAGTTGTTTTTGTATTGAAGGCTTTTTGAATTCATCATGTCCTGGATGACTGAGAATCTTCACCAGCATATATTATAATAACTATAATAACTATAATATTATAATAACTATATTATAATAATTATAATAACTATAATATAATAATATCTATATTATAATACCTATAATAACTATATTATTATAATAACTATATTATAATAACTATAATAACTATAATATTATAATAACTATATTATAATAATTATAATAAATATAATATAATAATATCTATATTATAATAACTATAATAACTATATTATAATGATATCTATATTATAATACCTATAATAACTATAATATTATAATTCCTATATTATAATAACTATAATAACTATAAAATTATAATACCTATAATAACTATATTATTATAATAACCATATTATAATAACTACAATAACTATAATATTATAATAACTATATTATAATAACTATAATAACTATATTATAATATCTATATTATAATAACTATGATAACTATATTATAATAACTATTATAACTATAATATTATAATTCCTATATTATAATAACTATAATAACTATAAAATTATAATACCTATAATAACTATATTATTATAATAACTATATTTTAGTAACTATAATAACTATAATATTATAATAACTATATTATAATAACTATAATATTATAATAACTATATTATAATAACTATAATATCATAATAACAATATTATAATACCTATATTATAATACCTATATTATAATAACTATAATATTATAATAACTATAACTACAATAAC